ATGACTGCCTTGTCTGTGCGCCTGACAGGAGAGTAATGATATAAGCTACCCCTGTGCTTTCATATAGATACCGCATACATGCATATATTTAACTGAACTTTCTACTTTACAGCTGCTATGAACAGAAGTAGACTGACGGCAAACTTTGTATTGTTGCGCTTTGAGAAGAAATACATTTAAAGGTCTGTTTTTTGTGAGCTTTTAGCCAGGTTATAATGTTATTACCTCATCCAAAACATATCTGGAGTTGTGTTTTGTTTCATTCACACGTGCTTGAGTTGCCCTTTTTATCTATCTATGTCTCCAAAGCTCAAAATTGTCTCTTTAACCTTTAGTTTTCAAACTTTTACCTTTTGCCCTTAGGTCAGTAGAGATAAAGAGAGGCTAAAATCAATCCAAATGATTCTAGTGAAGGTGTTTGGAGTTTAAAAACACAGAGGAGCACTTCCCGTATTATCATATGACATCACAAGGTGGAACAGGGGGCTTTCTGTTTTAGAGAAAAACACAACCAAAATATGCAACTTTTGTGTGTTAAATGTGTGAATGAAACAAAACACAACTCCAGGTTTGTTTGTGATGAGGAAACATTACAACATAGATCAGAAAATAGTGTATGGGCCCATTAAATGCTTTTAATAATTTATATTTTACTGGAATAAGAAATTAAATGACATGACCAGTGTTCTTATTTAACCAATGAGAGCTGTTCATTATGTAGCGCTGTTGCAATGATTCATTTCTGTGCAATTACCAAGGCAGACTTTCTGTCTCTTTGCCGTCTCTGTCAAAAGTAGGTCATGTGATAACACGATTCAGGATTTAATATTATGTTTCAGTTACATTTGTGTCTGCCCCAAGCTTGGGGAAAAAAAAAAGAAGTAATCTGTGGAAGGGCATCTGTAGCATATCTCCATTGGCAGGTGGTGGTGTGAATGTATGGATCCATATCAAAGAGCTTGCTTAAATGGCTTTGTAAGTCTTTTGCTTAATCCCTATTCGGGGCATCCATCTCCATTATAGCAGTGGATCTTTGGCTGTATCAGTGGAGAAGCACCTGTTAATATTAGCCTCCCAGCGTCGTCTCTAAATTGACTCTGCACAATAGTGACAGTGTAAGACAAAGCACCCTCCCTCACCTCCTGCCCCCGTCTTCTGTGTTTTAGTGCCCTGTGTATGTCTCTTTGTGGTAGCGGTCCACTGCATGGCCCTGTCCACAGCTTCTTGTTAAATCACTAAATGTGGAGATTGCCCCTTCGGATTGCGCTCCCCTCTTTCACCTCGTCTATTTGTTCCCTAAGCTGTGAATGGGGCGGCGGTAAAGTAGATGTGAATGTTAAATTAGGCGAAATTAATTAAAGCAAATTACTGTGGAATATGTGGCAGTCAGAGGAGAGTGTCAGCTGATGACTAAATAGTGACTGATCAGCTGCTTTCAAAAGCTCCTTTGAAATCTCACTTATCGAGTCTTTTATTGGGTATGACATTAGCTGGGGCCCTGATTGCCTTTTTAAATGTGTTGCAAAAATGACCTAGTATTTTTCCTTGGGACATATGGACACAGATATTTTATTTTAGATGCTCCAATCAGCAGTGATTTATACGGATTCATACCGTTATATTACCCATGCAAACCCTTTCAAAGCACTCTCCTCATAATTAATACTTGCTAAATTGAACAACAAACGCATATCAGAAACTGTAAATCATAATTGCTTGTAATGTATGTATATTCGTTCAGCTAACAAAATGATTACATTGCATTATATTTTCCAAGTTCACACAGACACAATGGCAAATTTTCATTCCAATCAGTGCTGAACAGGGAGCTGGTAAATTGGAGCAGCAAAACAATAATTCCACTGATTAGCCCCTTTCTGTGTGGCGTAAGTGAACTGTTTATACTGTGAAGTACCTCTGCAAGACGAGAGGAACCAAAACAGCCTGATTAAGCAAAGAGTAATTGGATAAGTTCATTTCAGCATGAGGACAACGCGCAGGATGACAGCTTGCACAAAAGTCGCAAGGCAGGGTTGAACTACAGAGGTTTTGACAAATCTGGATCTTATTTCTCAATAAATATGATCCAAATAACTCCAGATGAGTATGGAGTTTTGGAAGAAGAGCTATTGTTTAAACCTCTTTGAAAATTTGTTCACAGATGAAAATGTGCTCTGCTGGTTAATCAAATTACTTGCACTTTTGTGTGACATGGTCTTTCATCTTATAAATTTTGCTAATTACAAAAAGTGTTGTGGTGGCTAATTATAATCAAACAATTGTCACGCATCATTGAGACAAACAACTCAGGTTAGTAATATTAAGTTTGCTGAATACAATGTAGTCCATATTTTCCAACCATGCATAAAGGAAGGGTCTACTTGCATTTTGAGAAACTGCAAGCTCAACCATGCATATGAATGAAATATTTTAAAGGTCCTTTATTATGCAAAATAGGCTCTTATGATACACCACGATAAACCACTGTATTCAGAATTTGCCAGGACCATAAAATGTACACACAGAGCTAACACAAGAGGTGCTACTACTGGTAATTGTGTTGTTCCTATGTACAGGACAACTCTAGGTCAGTCCTCTTTCTCTTTTAAAGGGGCCAGACAATGGAACTGTTTACCAGCTGATTTAAAATTGGAAACCAATAATAACAAATTTAAAAGTAAATTAAAATTATTGTATGTTTCCTATCAAAAATGCATCCATTGAAAAATATTTTATCTGTATGTAACTTATGTGCCTTGTATTGTCTGTTTTTATGCATGTAGTTTATATTTTTATATGGACAGGTGTTGAAAACTTGCCCTTGTGCCAAAACACTCATCTGCCTCTGGCTTCTCTAATGCGATTGTGATGTCCTTAATGAACATAAATAAATAAAAAAAATGAGCTTTAAATCATGTTAGAATGTTGTTACCTCATTAAACCATACGTGGAGTTGTGTTTTGTTTTATTCACACGTGTTTGAGTAATCCTTTATTATTAGTCTGTCTGTATCTCCAAAGATCAAAATGGTCTGGTTTCAGGTTAAGATACATTTTACTTTTAGTTCAGTAAAGACTGAAAATTATCCAAATTATTCTTGTGAAGGCGTATGGAATTTACTACACAGTGGAGCACTTCCTGTATTACCACATGACAGAAGAACTATGCAGGATTTGTGTGTGTAAATGAAACAAAACAAAGCTCCAGGTTTGTGATGAGGAAACAACATTATAACACCGATCAGAAAATAGCGCAATATAGGCCCTTTAATTTTCCTGGGAACTTTATTTATTATTTTTATGCTTAGATTAACTTAGTACTGCTCATACAAGGCTACCATGTCCATTCAAGCCTACCATAGAAAGTAACAAAATAGACCGTCCTCTCTCGACACTCTCTCACATTTAAAGAAATCAGTGCGGGCTGTCAGTCAAAGAATTGGCACTGAAACCCATGAAACAAAGCTTATGTGATTAGTGATGAGCTGCTTTATATGAGAGCCACTTGAGTAGAGCTTTAGGTAATACCACAGAGTGACAAAAACATGACTCAACAGTGTGTAGAACATGCATCACTGTCTTGGCGTGTTGACCGATGATCTGACAGCTCTGTGAAAGAGTAGTAGCGTTTTCCCGTTGATGTTTGTGTCTTGCGGGGCTTCTCCTGTCAACATGGAGATGCATTTTGGGTTGTCAACGCTGCTATCTGCCTCTGATAATATTGTACATGTGCATTCTTCACATACTGTCCCACACCGGAGCCAACCGTCACTCAAGCCACTTCCACTTCCACTCTGACACAATGTAAACTCAAGGGTTAGGTGGTGAATGAAGAGAAGAAAGGTAGAAATCATTTGGCTCCTGGTCTGGCTCCTGGTGGTGGAAGCGCTATAAAAACAACTTCTTCAATTTTTTATATGAATAATAAAATAGGGGCAAATATAGTTCTGCTTTTTTAAGGTTTCAACATATTTTTACGAGTTGTTTTCCATACACAGCAATAAGGAGTTTGATCAGTAAGTGGAGAGAGAAAATCAAGTTAATAACACAAAAACTAAACTCAAGGGTTAGGTGGTGAATGAAAACTATAAACCACATCTTATATTTTAATATGAGTAATAAAAAACAACATAACTGTTTCATAGTACTTCATAGTTGATATGTAGCTCTATTGGGGTAGTATTGGAATGATAAAAGACTATTTAAAGGGAGACACTACAGGCAAAACTCTTTTTTTTTTTTTTTTTTCTTTTTGTTTTGTTTTGGGGTTTTTTGTCTGTTTGGTCTCTCAGCATATAAGCTTTCATGTGGAAACAACACAACAAAATGCTCTGTTACACCTTGTGAAGTCATATAATGGTAGTTTTCAAGTTACTACTACTAAGCTCCTTTTTACTTTTTGCTCAATAGAGATTGCTAGTTCCAAGGCTGAAATTATCCAGATGATTCAAATGACTGGTGAATGTAGTTTTAAAACAAAGTGGAGCACTTTCTGTATGACCACATGAAATCACAAGGTGGAACGGAGAGTTTTCTCAGCATATAAACTTTCTTTCTGGAAACAACAAAATGGTCCACTCTGACGTGAAAGACATTTTCATATTTTATTATTTTCTTTGTATGCTTTATTCTTTAAGCTTTAAGAAAAATCCTTTGCATACAAAAACATAATCTTAAAATCAGTCATGTTTTGATGGAAAATAGGGTCCTGTCAGTTTAAAATGTGTCTAATAATAGTCCATATAGTGTAATTGTACTTTGATTTCTCATAGTACATTGCATGACATTTTTCCACCTAAATGTTAGATCTTATTTATTGTGAGTTAAATAAATAGAATAAAAAAAACTAACTAGGCTACATTTGGTCTTAGTGATATTGCGGGTTTTCTTGTGTGACACCCCCCACCTCTACCCCCACCCTGAGGAGCTCTGCTGGAGGAGTCCTTAGAGCCACTGGTGCTAAATGGCCTTCTCCTGCCTCATTACCTAATCACCAGCACAGCTCCAGCTTAAGCACTAAAGAGCACGGCTGCCACCATTTTCTTATGACATTTTGCTCCTAACCATGCTCTTTTTAGACGAATATTAAGGTAGGCTGGGCTTTTGAAAGGTAAAACACAGCTTTCGTTTGAATGCAAATGCACTCAGTAACGTTTTGCATTGATATTTAAAGGTGTTCTGTGTAACTTTTCTGGTGAAATCTTTCATTGTTTAGCACCAGCAAATATCAGCAATAGAAATAGCGTTGTTTAGGCTAGGCTAGGAGCTAAGCTAAGGAGGATGCTTTTAGTTGAAACTTTAAAGCAGATTAAGCCAGTTTATTGTTGAGTCATTTTTAAGATCAAAATGGATTCTTGTGAACTTTAATCCAAGTTATAATGTTATTACCTCATCAAAAATATAGCCAGAGGTTTGTTTCATTCACATATGTTTGAGTATCCCTTTATTATTTGTCTGTTTACATCTCCAAAACTCAAAATGCTCAGTTCCAACTTATGATCTTGTATAGTGTTCGTGTTTACAGCTACCTTTTACTTTTTGCTGATTAGAAATGTACAATTCCAGGGCTGAAATTATCCAAATGATTCTAGACACGGTGAATGCAGTTTAAAAACACAGTGGAGCACTTCCTGTATTACTAGGGGTGTAACAATAACCAAAATATCGTGATATGGTTTCATCAAAAGTCTCACAATAATATCGTGGACCATCACAATATATCAAACTACTATTTAAATTCATTGTTATGGTGCAGCAATAGTTTAAAAAAAAGAGGGAACTACATAGATCATGATCCTTTGCTGTTGTCAGTGGAGACTTATCATTAATAGCACTTTTAAATCTTAATTCTTCATTTTACAAAGTACCATTATTAACAGTATCACTGTTTTTAAAGAAGTAAGTAGCATATTCACAGTTTTGATAGCCTCTACAAATATTGCAGTAAATATCGTACCATGAGATGCGTATCGTGAAAATATCGTTATATCCCTATGTATTACCCCATGACATCACAAGGTGGAACATCGTGTTTTCTGTTTGAAAGAAGAACTCAACTAAATATGCAGAATTTGCGAGTTAATTATGTGAAGAAGAAAAAAAAAACTCCAAGTATGTTATAGCGGTTTAATAATATAGGCCCTTTAAAATTCAGATTAATGTAAAATTTCTCTTTAAAATCTGTTAAAGTAGATACTGGTAGCTCATTACCAAAATAGAATTATGTTTTTTCACGGTATAACTTCCCACTGTGAATTCTTATGTAAATACCTATTTTTCTCATGTTCTCTACAGCACATAATGATTTCTTTTGCAACTAAATCTAATCTCATCTCACAGTCGATGCCATTGATCTTTTCACTGTTGCATCCAGATGGTGCCACGTCGTGTTTTTACATAAGGGCTTATAGTATGTTTTCTCTCCCATCTCCGCAGGTGCATTTGAAGATGAGGATATCATTCACGTGGAGGGGACGGTGGACCCGGTGAGGGACATGGAGATCATTCACGAAGAGTTAAGGCTAAAGGACGAGGAGCTGATCGGTCCCATTATCGACAAACTGGAGAAGACAGCCATCAGAGGAGGCGACAAGAAGCTCAAACCAGAATACGTGAGTTCGTGTCCCCAGCAGGCCTTTGCTTCCCCTCACAGCACGCTACAAAAGTCTAACCCTCCCACACACATGCCCAGGGAGAGAAAAAATTATGCTTTTTTTATAATCTCCCTCCGATAAAAACCCCTCCCCTCCTTCCTTTTCCATTTTTTTCCTTGCCTGAGATGGGAAGTGATCGGGGGTCATGGTTTTCTGCTGTAGAAATCATTAATAGAGAGTTACTTATTCAGCTGCTGACCCCGGGTCGCGCTACCAGGCTAATGAAAGTGTATCCGCACAGCTCTTTTCATCTAAAGTAATACTCAAATCAGACACCTACAGCAGCAGCTCCGGGGGAAATTGTGCGAGGCCAAGCGCTGGGTGAAAGGGAAGCCTATATGTCGTTATGAATAGCATAAATGTTTGGCATATACTTTGACAGAGCTCTTCGGGTTACTCATATAAGGAGATTAGAGGAAGTGTGTGGAGGTGCTGCTCATATTGTTAGGCTAATGAGGGTTAGCTGCTAACTTTAGCATCGATTTGGTGGTGAACGGCTCCCACTGCCCTATCATGACGCGAGCGAGCATGAGCAAACCTGGCCTTTTGCTATAAGCTGCATGCCCAATTTGAGTCTCTGACCAGTCATTACGCTAACTAGAGGGGCTATTTCACCTGCTGCAGCCGCCCCCCAAGCCCGACAACCACCCCCACCTACCCCCACCCCTGCAGACGCCCCTCCACACCCCCAGCCCTCCTCCTCCTCCTCCCTGCCAACAGCACTTCCCCACACCCCTGTAGCCCGCAGACAGGAGCCATTCAGCCCAGGCAGGTGGCCGCTTACGCACATAATTGCTAACAATTTTAGGCAATGAATAAAAATGATCTACATTACTTGTCAAAGGTTGTGCACACGTCGGCGAAGTGAAATCTATAGAAGACCTCTTTAGATGGAGAAGAATGGAGCTTATCAAAGGCGGGTGCAGCTCGGAGACGCTGGGATTGTCTCCCAGTGCCTCAGCTGTGTGTTGTCACCTCCAAACATGTTTATGTCAGCATCAGAGCAGCGCTGCAGTCTACCCAGAGATGTACATTGTGACAATAGGACGCAGCGTCTGAGCAATGACAGGGGCCTATTAAATCAGAAACAATATGTGAAGCAGGTGAAGGGACGGAGCAAAAAATACTGTCTACACCTATTATCATGTCATCAAACGTCTTTTTTCTGTCACCTAGTTCCAAAGACATCCTTTTTCATGTAGTTTTCAATTTAATCTAAAGAGACAAACAACGCCCAAAGTTTGATCAGAAACATAAAGTATGTGATAATTAATAAATATAATAATATATAATAATTACTAAAACTGAATTGGGTAAAGAGAAGTAAATTTGACGTACGTATGCTATGTAACTGTCAGATTTCACTTTGTCTCATTTGAGCGTGTACTTACTGCATAATTGTACGGCCTCATGCTGGATGCACTCAGAAGAGTTTAATGCACAGGCTTTTAATAATGAGCAGATCTGCTTTTAATCAGCAGCTTCCTGTTGTGACAGGATGTAAGGACACACATGTAAGTGCACATATTTAGCCTGTATAAAACAGGAAAACTTTTGACATAGTACTAATTGACTAAAATGATTAATAGATAAATAATAAAAAGAGCTATTATATAAAGCGACTGTATATGTATATATGCATATATATGTTTATGTATATATACATATATATATAATATATAGTGTTTGAATATGTCTTCTGGAGGACAGGCCACTTAATATTCCCCTGAGGTGTATTTAAATGATTGCAGCAGCACGGGCTCATTTTTATGCATTGTTATAAAGATTTAAATCCATTTGCTTGTGCTGTGTTTACAAGAAGAATATTTCATGCTTTTGTTGCTGTGAATCGTCTAAATCCCTGTCCTCAGAAAACAATGCGGCGGTGGCGGGCCCACCAGCGGCGCGTGATGGTGGCAGGCGTTGGTGCTGACCCCAGTGGGACCTATCTGCCTTTTATTAACACCTGCCTGTTAGAGCTGATGAGGGAAACCTGGAGCGGGTTCAGCCCGTGTCACTGGCCGTTTGCTGTTTCCATTTCACACATGATTAATCTTTGTGTGAAGGCCGCGGAGCGCTGGCCCTGCGTCCGTGCCTCTTCCTGCGCTCTCTCCCGCTGCTGCTCTCTGGCCGCTCCACTAAAAGGCCTTTAGAATTCCTGTGGAGAGAGATGTGCCCAGAGCGAATGCAGCTGGCCGGGGGTCAGTGTGTGCCGCTCTCTCTGCCATTGTGTAATTGAGGCTCTGGCAGGATTTTTTCCTCACTTCTTTGAAAAGCCAGTGTGATTGTGAAGTGCTGCGAGGCTTTGGGGAGGGAAGAGCAGGCTGAGGGAGTGTTGCAGGGGGTGGGGGACTTTTATATGAAGGGGGAGGTCAAGTTGACAGGAACAAAAAGAATGTGTTCCGCTAATTTCTGTGGGGCTGGATCAACAATAATAGGCTCAATTTCTTTATTACAAATTTTATAACTACCTCCCTCCCATTTTCCCACCCTTTTCCGCTTCCAGATCCTGTCAAGACCCAGTCCTGCCTGTGGTCCCAGCCCACAAGTGCCTCAGTAATGAATGTGGCTTACATCGGGGCTGATGCTCCATGTTTTCTCCACAAGAATCACTGAATAAATACTTGTGTAGCTCTCTGGAGTGCATTCCAAATGACTGCATTCTGAGACAGAATCTGAGGGAGCTGATCTTTTACACTTAAGTAACTGACTCTGATTAGTTCCCCTCTTGTCTACGCTGTCATCCATCCTTTTCATTAAACAATATAAAGTATGCTGATAGGCCTGAAGGTCTTTCTCATGCTTTGTAAGGCAAGAGGGGGTCCTGTGCGTGCCATCTATGTCAAAGCTGCTCTCCTGCTTCAATCCCTGCACAGCCATTGTTCATTTGGGCATCAGGATGCAGTGAATTTAGGAAATAATTACCCCATACCCCGCCGCGTTTATACTCTTTTTCATCTCCTTTAATGGCTTCTTGTTTATTCTCTTTTAACCCCAAACAGGACATTATGTGCAAAATCAAGAGCTGGGTAGTGGATGAAAAGAAACATGTCCGCTACAATCACGACTGGAACGACAAGGAGGTACGTCTTTGAAGTCAGCAAGATTTATGAAAAACTCCAACTGCTTTTTTAGTCTTCTTTTGTGCAAATGAATATTAAGATCTGTCTTGTGTTGCTTTATTTTGACATCACTTTTGTACAAGCTAATGACATCTGGCCATGCTGCTCTTGAGCTTTATAGAGGCCCCCCGCAGCTCCTATATACACAACAGACTGCTCACTCAACTTTGTTTGCTGTTTTTAAAAGTTTGAGCCTTTTTTCACAGTGTCACTGTCTTTGCAGATCGAAGTGCTGAACAAATACTTGTTTTTGACATCCAAACCCATGATTTACCTCGTTAACCTCTCGGAGAAAGACTACATCAGGAGGAAGAACAAATGGTAAGTGCAGGGAGGTAGGAGAGGCCGCCATGTCTCATTGCACTCATTAATCACCAGCAAAGGGCTTTTTTTCTCCTACTTATGAAGCGGCTTTCTGCTAACTTTGATTGGATCTTGCGTCCCGACTGCATTAATACGGTACAGTGGAGTGTGAGAAGTGTAGACGCAGAGACGGACTGAAGGTGCCCCCCGCTGGGTTTAGCGGTCATATCTTTGTGAGAGGATCTGCCTGGAGGTGGCACTAAGTACAGCACCACAGCCGGCTCTGCCCTCTCTGCTCTTCATTAAGACACATACGGACTCCATTTCACTGCAGAATTTCCATATGATATCAAAGGCTGTGAATGACAACAAAACAAACATGAGCAAGTGATTAATACAGTGCGGAGAGGGGACAATAAACTCGAGGCATAAACACCGCTATTAATATTATATGGCCATTTAGAGGTTTGTGTCAAATATTTGGTTTTGTCTACACATGTTGTTGCTCAAGACGGGGAATGAGTGGCATACTTTACAAGACTTTCTTTACAGTCATGGCTTGCACAATGTGAGCTTTCATTGAAAAAGTCTTTAAAAATGTTATTCCGAAAAAGAAACTGAAATGAAAATAGAGTAAGAAAAAGAAATGTATAAATCTGAGCATAAATTATTTAATATATAATAATGTGTTCTCTGAAAACAGTTGATTCAAAATTAGACTTTAAGGGAATGCTAATAAAAATAGAAATAATTTTGTTTGCATTAAGACAAATTTCCAAGCACCAATGTAAACAGGGCTATCGTTGTAAGTGTGTGGTGTGTGTTTTGTTCCAAGTGGGTTTATAGTAATGTCATCTCCAGAGAGGCCGCGGACACATCCATTACATGTGAAAGGGCTACTTTTCCTCACTCCAGCAGTTTGTCAATAACACCAACTTGTGGATTGTTACCACACTTTTCCAATTGCCCTCTAGGCTTTGTGGTGTCACTTCTTGCAAAATTTGTTTTCTGTGCTTTACTTGGCAGCATTGTATTACAAGGGAAGTTGTTTACCTATGAGTGTTTGTTAAAATGTTCTTGACACGAAAGTATGAGTGTCAGACAGAGAGAGGAGGGAGCGAGCTCATAAATCAAATGATTCATGGCATGTGGAACATCCGTCATCAGCAGAAAGAGCTTTTTTAACTTGCGTGTGTGGGGATTTTTACTGTGAGAAATGCAATAAATCCTGTGCACTTTTAAACAGTAGTGCTCAGGTGTCCTGGGGGCTCCCCACTGAACAATACTGACATCAAAGTGTTGATGTTTGACAAGTGATGAGTCACTTCCCCTGTCCAGAGAGCAGCTCACACCTGTATGGAGATGATTACAGGTAGATCGAGCTGGCCCTAATTGTACAATAAATGCCGCTCTCAGCCCTAATGGCAGCTAGTCTGCAGCGGAGACGCCAGACTGCCATTTGGCTGTCGCCATGCTCTCGTGTTTTTCCACCGGCACAGTTGAGATGATGATACGCTTTAGGACTATTCAAAGCAAACAGCAAGACAAATTGCAATCTCAGCTTTAATGTGCTCAGAAAAAGGAGGCGAATCCTCGAATGAGGCAAATAAGCCAATTTTATCTGTGTCTCTTAGGACATTCATTGAGGCCATATCACAGGTTTAGTTTACACTGCTCTACAAGCACCTTTTCATTTCTGCTCTTTTGTTGATGGCATGTTGCCAGTCACTGTTTAGCTAAATGCATCTGAAGCCTATTTTTAGTCGTGATGTTTTGTACCGTGGTGTCAGAACAGGTTGTGTGTGTTGTAACTTTTATGTGACAACATTTGTCAAACATCTATAATGCAATAATGTTACCAGAGTTTAGCCCTGAAACTGCCCAGCCCGCTGTTAACTGCCATCATCTTGTTTGGAGTATGGGAGCCACATACCAGGCTGCTCTTGTTTAGACAAGAATATAGCATATTAGCTTTAGCTAACCATCATTAATGTGGATCAGACAAGGAGCATGGCTGCTTTCATCCCATCTGCTCTGCTCTGCTGGAGATAGAACATCATTTAGTGTGGAGAGCAGCACATGGCTCTGGTGTGCAGTGTCTACAGTGTCTCCAGTGTGTACATGTGTATGAGAATGTGTCCGTGTGCATGTTTGAAGTCTGTCTCCGAGGCGACTCGCCGCTCATTTGGATGCTGCTGTAATTGCGGTGTGCACATCAAAGGCCTGTGATGTTCCAGAGGAGACCGCGCTCCTCTGAGCAGAGGGCCGCCCGCTGCTCCCCTCTGCCTCCCTCTGCCTCCAGCCATCACTGCCCCCTGCACATCCCCGCTCGTAAAAAATGATTAAGGCCGCATTTGTCCTGTGTTTATGACTGAGAGGCATTGCGTGATAGGGAATGGCATCTACAAGAGGCTTTCTCTTGTGCTCTGGTCTGGGAGCTGCCTGTAGACGGTAGAACACAACGCATACTAAAGGTTCATTACAGGACGACTGCTGACGTCTGGTCCGGCCGGCATTTTTACACCTGTCAACAATGTTTAGTTTGCTAGTTTAATTCTTATTCCATTTTTAGACTGGCCAGACTTTGCTAAGAAAAATAGGGGTAAAAAACTAAAAAGTCCAGATGTGCTGTGATGTTTTTGATGGCATTTTCCTTCCTCTTCCTCTTGTTCTTTTGGACAATGTACATTAAAGTAAATTGGCGCCTCTTAAGTAGATGAGTTGACCTTTAAGGAAGCCGGCGAGTGTGGCCTGCCTCTGAGTGCTCTGCTCCTGGAGTGTGAGCGAACCGCGAGCTCCTGCCTCACGGAGCTGCTATTAACGCTGTGCATGGTGTGTGTATATAAGTGTGAGTGCTCTCCTTTTTACTATGTTATGGGGACGTCAAGCCTTTTTCCCTTGTCAGAATTCTCCTATAGGAACAAAACACAGGTCCCTAAAGGTAATCCTCAAAGTCATCAAGTGTCTCCATAAAGTGAATGTAATGTCCCTTAAATACAGTATGATAAGATTATGATTATTACACGTTTTGCTTGTGGTGTCAGACAGGTTTAATTTGGCAAACAGCTAAAGTCTGGCAATGTGCTGTAATGGTTGCTTGTCAACATTAAGGCATAAATAATTGTAATTAATACAACACTGAGCTGTGGCATTCATCATCTAAATCATACATCATCCTTTGACATTTTAAGGCAGCTCTGGTTCCACAAATGTTACAAAACATTGCTCTCCTGTTACTTTTCATTTTCCAATCCCACATAGGTACAGATATCTAACTATATTATGTACAACTTTACTTTAATTAAACAAAAACAATACATTTTTGCAGTGTCTATGAAAAACAGAAGTCTGCTACTCCACATTATCTAGAAAGTGCTGCTATTTTCCGTATATCTTTTTTATTAATACTTTATTTAATACATAATGCTTACTATATTAGAGATTATTTTTATGTAATCAACAAATGCCAGTGTAGTCCCATTATGAATAATTGTATATTGTATAACAAATAAATGTTTATTAATCTAATAGTCCTTAATCATTTTTTGTAATATATTTGTATTCTGTCTTGAGTAGCAATTACGATATTGATGTAATTTGTGAAAGTCATCAAATGCATGGAATACTTGTTTTGTCCTGTAGGGGGAGCTTTAGCAACTACAGTGGGGGATGCATCATTTCACAGCAGTCCCTGGCTAAATTGTAACCACTAAATACAATTCAGTTACAAACTGCAGTGTTACTTCAATGACATGTTGTATATTTTTGCATTCATTGCCTGATTTAAGTATGGATTCAGCGTTTTTATTTTTATTCACGTTTGATGCGTTTGTCATTTTCCCCTTGGGACTTAGACATGATGAGGTGGCCTGTAATGATTCCCTGAAAACCTCTCTCTTCTCTGCACTCTGCTCCTCCAGACCAACTCTCCCATAAACACAACTCCAGTTTATTGAGTGCAAAACCACCGTCTCCATCCAAGTTTTTTTTGGAACTACTATCCACTCAGTTCCAGGGCTGCTGCATTCAAAGCCAACATCTAGTCCATCCACTATGGTCTTTTTCAGCATGAGATCACTTCCCATACAACAATGTGTGCACAGTGAGTTGTAATGGTGGACTGTAGGTGGTAGGCAACAACAGAAGAGAAGAGGCAGTGCAGTAAAGCTGGACCAGATGGTGCTAATGAAGTTGCTGTGTGAGTTATATAGCAGTAGACTGTCCCTGGTCCAGGTAATGACAGGCCTGTTGTCCTGTGTCAGCCTTCTGTGTCTTTGTTGTATAGAGGAACAGACACAATCCTGTTACACGGACTAATGACATCAACCTCAATCAGACTTGTTTTTTTTCCCTTGAGACTACAGCTTGACTTGTAATTGCTGTAAAACTTTTGATTTTAGTTTTGCGTTTACACTCTTTTTCAGTGGACTGTCACGCTATGATATAAGGATTTGTTTTATCTGTAGGTAATTAATTGGGATTTAAAGGTCCTATATTAGACAAAATGTACTCTTGTGAGCTTTAATCATGTTATAATGCTGTTACCTCATCCAAATCCAAATATATAGGTTGTGTTTTGTTTCATTCACACTTGTTTGAGTAATTCCTTTATTACTAATCAGTCTACATCTCCAAAGCTCAAAATGCTCTGTTACACCTTGTGATGTCATGAAGCTGTAGTTTCCAAGTTGGCAGATACCTTTTACCTTTTTTTCTGTAGAGATTGGCAATTTCATTCCAGGGCTGAAATTATCCAGATGATTCTAGTGAAGGTGTATGGAGACTAAAAACACAGAGGAGCATTTCGAGTTTTACCACAGTGTTTTTCGTTTGAGAGGAGAAATAAATATGCAGTTTGTGTGAATGAAACAACACAACTCCAGGTATGTTTTTGAAAAGGAAACAATATTACAACATAGATCAGAAAATGGCATAATAAGGGCCCACTAAACCAACTAGCCAGGTCTTCACTGTAAATGTATTTTTTTACGAGGAGTTTTGGCCGATAATATGAACCA